TTATAACGTTGTCCATTTTATGTTCACATGTTTTTTTTTCGCTTCTTTTCTCTTCCTAATATTTCAGAATGTAACGAAGTTTCTAAGAATTTTTTCTTAGAACCTCTATTAGTTCAGCTGAGTGTTTCAAACAGCTCAACAGTCTCCTAGTTGGCAGGGATGCGAAGTGATCAAAATAAATTGAAACTAAATGAGCATACCTTCTTTTTGAAGACGTGCAATTGACAAATGATTAAAGTAAGGATTAGTAGGCGATTGCATACTGCTACCGGTATGGAAATGAATAGGACCAGTCCACAGTCTACCTCTAACTACGGCAAGGGCATTACGTGGATTCTGTGCCATTTTACATAAATTCTTATTTATTACTATTCTGTGCATTTATAGCGGTACCAACCACACTTGTTATATCATTTGTTGTATTTTTACTCCGTAATTACCCGGGTTATTGAAAACTACTGAACCACTACCACACGGGAGCAACGTGACAGAAACGAAATTCCGTACAGGCATTTGGTTTACAGTAATTCTCTAGCTTCTCCACCACTTACCACCGTGTCCTTGCGCAAGGCTACTTTTCGAAGCGTCGTATATGTATGTGATGGGTGAGAATTAACATACTGAATGGGGTTATGCCATGCTGTATTACTGTACTAGTCGAGTGTCGTGCTGAATTTTCGTTTCTGTACGGTATGAATGTGATGGTGCGTGGGGAGCTGTATTGGCGGAAGAATTGAACATCTGGTTGAGTAGTGATTCATTTCTTGTTAACAGTGAAAGCGGTAGTGTTCTAGCATACTACATCTGGCTAGGGAGCATAATTACAGACCTACGAAAACGGCTACCTCCCCCTCTTTGCGCTCTAGCGCTTGCTGTCAGGACACGAAATTTCCAGCGAGGAAACTGAAGGAGATACAGATTCCTCGGATGTTTGTCTCCCAATTGAGAGATTATTAATGTGCCCTTGCCTGACCTTAACTTTGCCAGACACCCAAAAACGCCGTCTCCAAAAATGTTTGTATTGTTCTTTGTAACTTAAAAAGCGAGCTCATAAAACAGCGCTTGTTTGCTATTCGCGTCGCACTCATATATGCTGCCAGAAAACGCCAACAAACGTGCCTTCGATTTGATTAAGGGTAAAAGTCTGATGACTTTGCTTCTCCCATGACCCAACTCTTCTTAACTTTTGGATAGTATATCTCAATTTTTGCCTGTTCTGGATGGCAAGCACCTACGACACTTTCTGGATCTACACCGAGGTTGCTCGCACCAGGCATAGCGTTGTTCTGCCTTTGTTGATGTGTGGTATACGTCATAATGGGTACAGTTGTTATCGTGCCTATGACTTCTTTCTCGATAACAACGGTTTGGCTGATAGCAAGTATCACGTCTGTCTTTTTTAGAAATCTTTGTTCATTAAATAATTGAATAAAACATTGCCACTTCTTTATAGAGTTTTATCAGGTGACAGAAAAGAATAGATGAGGTTGTCAACAGAATAAACTTCTGGGAGGAGTTCCCACCACACGCAGTTTGCAGCAACTGCACGACAATAGCTTGCAACTACATTAGAATGTGTCTTTGTCCTGAACGCGCACATCAACTTCCCTGCTGCCACTACTTATCAGATCGTTATCACATTGTGCTTCGCGCTCTTTTTTGTATTCTTTTCGTTGGGTCTTACCACTTGTGGAGCCACTTGCGTAAATCTACCAGCATTT